GGGGGGGGGGCAGCAGAGGCGGAGGAACGTCTGTTGGTTTTTTGTTCCTCCTTTAAATAATGGATGAGATTCTCAGATGAGATATAAAAAAGATCCACGCTGTAACCAAGGACAGGGGGCGCTGTGAATACTAATGACACCCGGTACTGAGTGGGTTTGTTGTATGAACGTCAGACTCTCGTGAACTTCTGGCTCATCATCATCATCATCTGCTGCTGCTGCTGAAAGACGACGATGATGCAACCTGCTGACGTCCGCGTCCTACTCTCAACCCCAGGAGAATGTTTTATCAACCAGGTGGAATAATATGACAGATGATCGATAAATAAATATTTTATTGATTCAAGGATTCAGACCTTTTTGTATGTCAATATTAAACTTCCGAGATCTTTTAGTCTTATTACTGGTTACTCTAGGAGGTTTATTGATAAATTCATTATGACACAGTTTGGAATTTTTTTAAATTATTTCTTTCTTAAATAAACACAATAAAACCAACCAAATGTTTTTCTCTGTTTTTCTGACTGCGTTAGAGGGTTTCATCTTATTTGTTTCATTTATTATGTCTTCTTTCAGTCCTTGACATCACTTCCGGCTTTATTCTGAAAGTCTGTCTCCTCGACTGCCAGGGGTTTGACTTCCTGTCCCGGTCTCTCTGTGGCGGTGTCGACGCTTTTAGTCACACCCTGTGAAAAATCCGCCGTCAGGCGAACATGAAAAGATGATTTAGTCCTCAGAGGAGAGAGACGGGATTAGAACCAGAGATTAACGCTGCATTTGACAGAGGAGAGGAGGGGGGAGAAGGGGAGGAGAGGAGGGGGGAGAATTGATGAACTGGTCGCTGTTTTTCTGTTTATTTTTTAATGAGAGCACATTTGTGTCAGGCTCATTAGACTATATTATAATAAATCGATATATTATGGTCTGTGTGTCGTCTTTGGGGTAATGAAGGGTGTCTGAGTGGGACACAGCCAAAGCGAGCAGATCTGTGTCACATGACCTGCTACATCAAAGCTGCATATGGATAATCCATAAACACAAAACGGCATGTTTGTAATCTCTGATTCTTCAGCGCTGGGATTGGAGATAAATTAGAGAATACGATAACTGCAGCAGCAGTGACAGAGTTGAGTGGTCTCTGAATGTGAACATCAGACTTTAATCTACTTACAGGACTGGGCTGGTCAAGGATTAGAGGAGATTAATAATCCATTATGGACATGAAGTAAAACCGCACTCTGACACTGATTAAAAAAATAAGGTGAAACAAATTCAAATGTGAATTATATTGTATTTTTTTCAAAATATAAAAGTGAGAAAATGAGAAGATGCCATGAAATATTGTTAAATATATTGAAATATTATTTGATATTATTATACAATTATTATATTTATACAAGTGTAGGAGGGGAAATTGTAATAGGGATAAAAATAAATTATATTACATTAAAAACAACAACAACAACAACAATAGGACACCTGACCACACCCACCTGTTGCTGAGAAACTGTCACGTGGTAAATGTGGAAATAGTTTGGAAATATTTATAAGACTTACTTCACAGCTCAGGTATAAAAATATTTTGGTTTATATTGTGTTGTATCGTACTTTTTTCTTATTCACTTGTTTTACACAGACAGTGTGGAGAGTGGCTCAGGTTGAACACGTGACAAATGAACAGTAACATTTTCACATAAACATTTAAAAAGCACCTTAAAACCAATCACGTCTCATTGTTCTAAACTGAAGGCATGGTAAAAGTTAAAAAGGTTAAATGTGTAATAAATGTTCATAATGAGGAAAATCATGGCTTGACTCCGCCCACCCCATAATTGGTCAACTTATTTTGTCCCCTCTGACTCTCCGTAGATCAGGCTCCGCCTTGTCCTATAAAAGGCTGCTGCGCTGCCGCCATTATTCCTCTCACACGTTCTTCAGGATCAGTGCTGCTGTCACCTCACCGTCACTGCTAAGGTAAAACTCACTGCATTTAAGATTTAAACCATGTAGTTTTTTCCGCGGTGTTGCTCAGACCTCTCCCAGACCTTTTCTTCCTGAACATTCTAGAATGTTGTTTGGCATATCACACTTAAAAAGGAGGTTTCAAGTTCAAGTTGTTGGGTGTAACTTGGGGTTAGCTTCATCAGAGCGGCGTCCTTTTTCTGTTCCTCCGTCTATTGTTAAGGCAGTGATGCGTTCACTGTCCAAAAAGTGTTGCGTTTAAGTGGCTCGTCTGCGGCAGACGGAACAAAGACCATGTGTTTTACAGAGCGTCTGGAGGCCCGGCTTTTTTGTTAAGAAATATCCGAGTTTCTTTGAATCTCACCCGGCGTTAACTCCATGTGTCGTCCTGCAGTAGGTTCCAGACGTGATGCGTTTGAGGCGCGGCCGGATAATCGTTTTTTGTTTTCACAGGTCTAGGCTGTGCATCTCCGGTTGTCAAGTACAGACACGAAATCCGGTTTGGAGCCACACAGCCGACTGTGAGGCCACACGCTGTTGTTCAAATGTTTTTTTTTTTTTATTCCTACAGTATTTATTTCCGGTCACAGGTTTTTAAAGATTATTTTGAATTGTTTTAACTTTTGTCGTCGTTAGGACTGTTTTCGTTAGAAAAGAAAAAGCTCAGTGCAGAACAGGTAGTACTAAGTCTGTACTTTCAATATTTATAGTGATCAAACCTAAACCATTTCTACGGCTCTGCAGATTCAAAAAAATGACGCTAATGTCAAACCGTGTGCGTGAGAGTCAGTGGAAGGTCTTTAAGTGTGGAGATAAAGGTCTTTGTGTGGGCGGAGCCTGTGGTCCTCTCTGTCAGCTGTCAACTGGTCAGACACACACTGACCTGGACTGTGATGGGCTCGGGGCTCTCAGCAGCCGGCCCTGTCAGTTCCCCGTTCAGCCCGTGAGTCCCTGGGTTCCTGCATCACCAGAACTGTTTTTTTTTGTTTGTTTGTTTTTTTTTACTCTGCCTTTCAACTTCTGGATGTTTCTTTTTGGTTTCTTACAGAATCATGGCTGACCAAAAGGAGCGCACCTTCATTGCCATCAAGCCCGACGGTGTCCAGCGGGGCCTGATTGGAGAGATCATCAAGAGGTTCGAACAGAAAGGCTTCAAACTGGTGGCCATGAAGATGGTTCATGTGAGTGATCTGCTGGTGCTCAGTCATGGCACCGTGACAGTCCCTGGTACTTTCTAACTCCTCAGCCTTATTCTGGTTCATGGCGTGAGCAGTGTAAAAAAAGCTGCTTCAGCTCAGGAGCAGCTTAAGCTGCTGTTCTATTCCTGACCCTCAGCTGATCCTCCGCCCTCTGAGTGCTGCAGCACTCTTCACACCCGGGTCTGGAGGGTTTTAACAAACCTGCATCATGTCTGAGTGAAGTGCTAGTGTCGCTGATGTCACTGATGCAGCAAAAGCTGGAGCTGGTAATAAAGCAGTGGTGCAGTGGAAACAGATGACACTGCAGGAACCAAATCTGACCAGGACTAACTGCATAGACAAAGTGCCAGAAACTGAGTTCTAATACAGGAAGTACTGGGCCTTAGTTTACTATAGATGCTGAAAGTGGTACCAGAAACTACAGCATTACTACAAGGTGGTTTACTGGAAAGACTGACAAAGATGAGACAAACAGTTTCTGTTCCACAGTAACAACTAGTCAGGTCCAGTTAGTGCATGTGTGGGTGGATCCTTCAGGATACTGCTTCCTGATTGGGCGCATACTGTCTTGGATTCATTTTCTCAGCACTTGGTCACAATTAAAACTGTTTTAATACAGCTGTTGGTGAACCATGAACTTTAGGCTGAGCCTTCAGGAGGTCCTGGTACTGTTAGGACTGTTGGCTTCCTCAAGGATGTTGGAACAGATGCAGTAGTGACACTGGTCATCTTGTCAGTGATGTGTGTTTGGGGAAGGTTTTCTTGTGAGATCCTGAGGTGTTTGGTTCTTGTTCCCACAGCCCTGTCAGGACCTGCTGCAGCAGCACTACGCTGACCTGAAGGAGAAACCTTTCTTCCCCTCCCTCATCGAGTACATGAGCAGCGGACCTGTGGTTGCCATGGTGAGCAGAGATGGTTGAAGACCTGACGATGAGGCAGCACTGTGGCCGTCATGCTCATGATGTCCTGTGTTTGTGATCCAGGTGTGGGAAGGTAAAGGTGCTGTGAAGACCGGCCGTGTGATGCTGGGGGAGACCGACCCTGCTAACTCCAAACCCGGAACCATCAGAGGAGACTTCTGCATTGTAGTTGATAGGTGAGTGCTGGGCTCAGGTTTGGTCCGTTGGACCAGTTCTCTGCAGATGAGCTGAAGACTGACTCCTCACTGTCTGACTTGCTCATCCCCCCCATGTTTTTCCTCATCTTACAGGAACATCATCCACGGCAGTGACTCAGTGGAAAGTGCCAAAAAAGAGATCAGCCTGTGGTTCAAGGATGACGAGCTGGTCCTGTACACCCCCTGTGCCCATGCCTGGCTCTACTGATCTGACTCGGCCCAGTCAGGGTTCTGTTGCAGACCGTCACCACTGAGCCTTCAGACTCAGACTTTTCTGTCTTTGTTTTTCCATACAAATGACTTCAACATTCCCAGTCCTGCAGTGCCCTGCTCACTGTCCTCATACTGGTACTGAAACCAGTTCTGTCCTAGGTCAGGTCTACATTCCTGAGTTTAGTCCCCCATAGTAACATTCCACGGTTTGTTTGTTTTTTCATGATCACAGGTTGTTGGTTTGAATGTTTCTTACCAATAAAACTCACAGAATTCCAAACTTCCTGTTTCCTGCTTCTTACATCTGTTTTACAACAAAAAATAATGAAATGTAGTGATGTAATATGGGGTGCAGCCTCGGCCTATTATCAAGAGGATTGGACTGGAAATCAATGTTCTCAGATTTGAGTCCACCTTGGGATCTTGAATAAATTAACTCTCTTGCTCACTGGAAGCCTTCAGTGATCACTGCCAGCCATGAATGGGATGATGGGTAAAATTCAGAATGTGGTTGCAATGAAGACAAATTGTTTTTAAGTCAGTACTTAAACTTAGCTGCCAGTACAAATACTGTTGTTAAACATCTGAAGACTCTTTCTGGCCTGGTGTGCAATGTTTGATTGTATTTCATCAAGTTGGCAGGTTTGTGTACTTGTCTTACAGTAAGAGTCAGTGGTTTGATCCTCAGCTCTGTTAGTCCTCTACCACAGTTTAGAAACATGCAGACTAGACAAACGGTCATTCTAAGATGACCATAGTTGTCAGTGGTTGTGGTCCTGATGGACTGGAGAACTGTCCAGGGAGTAACGCCACCCTCTCCCCAGAGGAGGTGAACAATTTCCTCTTTAAATGTTTGTTAAGAAGGAAATAAACAAAATGAACTGATAAAGGGGCCGGAAATGTTTTCATGTTTTTATCTTAAATGTTTTGCAGGAGTCGTCACATTCTCCACCGGATGGCAGTATAATTAACAAACGTCAGACACGGCTGGAGATTAATTCACACTCGCGAAGAAGAAGCGGGAGCGGAAACGATAACAGTAGCGATTCGAAAACGACGTCAGGAAAACAAGGTCGCTGGTTAAATACGTTTTGCCGGGTTTTATTCCCGTAAGTGTCTTTGACTTATTTTTTTCACTTGTCAAGTTTATATATAAACGTCGTATTATTAAAGTTACTAGTAGTTGAAATTACGCTTTGTTTCCTACTTCTCTAAGCGTTGTTGACGTCACAGCCGGTGACTAGTTAGCGTAGCTGCTAATGTTAGCATGTCACAGAGGATAAAGACAGGTTGTCTTTGACTCATCTGTGTCTGAGGGCAGCTGGCAGTTAAACGGATTCTCAACACATTTAGATTTAATGATAGAAGTTTTCTTCGTGTTTTTGCGTTTGTTGACATTCGAGAATCAGTAACAGACACGTGAAGGATTTTGGGTAGATGACAGATAGGACTCTCCCTTTTCCCTTTCCTTGAGCTGAGGTAATGAATTTAAGGTTGATTTGTTTAAACCCACAGTTTGCAGAAAAGTGTATTGTTGGTTGTATCGGTTCAAAGAGAAGAACTGAAGTGAAAGCCTGAAACCTGCTTTCTCCTCCTCCTCCCCTTGTGTACTTATTCCTCCTCCTCCTGTCACTCTCTTCCTTGAGCTTTGATGCTAAGACCAGAGACAGGAGAAGAGTAGAGCCTTCTGTGTGAGATGGATGTTGGTGTTTCCAGGTCGCACGTCTTTCTCAACTACACTCCCAGATCCTTCTTTCCTCAGTGAGACACATCATGACTGTGTGCATGATAATCATGATGACCTCGCCGTTACCTGCGCTACATTTCACACACTGCGTGTACATGTGTCCACTGCAGAGACTGTGAACGGAACATGCAGGGGAGTTAAAGGTTCCTAACGTTCTTAGCAGCAGCAGCTTTGCACATTCTTCTCTAAGTCGTGCTGAGCTTAGTGTGTGCACACAGTATATAGTACTGTACATATACTGTATGAGCATGTGACGCAACAACACTCCTTTCTTCAGCTCTCTGCTCTCACAGTCCACGGCTCGTGCTTTCGTCTTTTCTTCTGCATGAAGGTTGAGCTTCCTAGCAGCAAAGCTGAAGAAGTGATGGTGACACTCACATTGACATCTGTGTGATATATGAAAGACAGCTATCAGGCGCTGTTATTCTGTGATCCTGTAGGTGGCGCCAGTTAACCATGAGTGCCGAGCGCGTCATGGATGCAGTGAAGGACGTCCCCTCCTTCGGCTCAGCGAAGATGGTAGCTCTGGCTGCAGGTCTGTCCGTGGGCGTCACCGTGGGCTACATGGTTTATCGACACATCAGCAGCAGCAGTAACGACGACGATGGTAAGGCCGGGAACAATGAGCTTTGACTGGCAGGAGCCGGAACTGTCAGTTCTGTGTTCAAACAGTGGGTAAAGGTTCTACTATTTACTGCAACACTGTAGCAGTAGTATTGAGTTCTGTCTGGTTTGGCTAACTTTCATTGAGCTAGGTGTAACTTTCTTTATCATTTTTTAACTTGAAGCTGTCTATGTTGTGTCCTGGAACACTCTGTGTTGTTCCTGCTCTGATTGACTAAGTGGTGTTTCACAGATAAAGACACAGACACACAGGTGTCAAAGATGATGTTTCCAGTGGAGGTTTACAGAAACATGTCCAGATACCAGGCCCGTTTTTTAGAAACAGTAAGTTCTCCATCGGACCTCATTCATTAGAAGTGTAATATTGATATATTTGAATTTTAAAGTGTTTTTTCTGCCTTCACCTCTCTGTCAGGTGACTCAGAACTCTGGGGCTGCGGTTTGGCTTCAGTCGGATGCTGGTACCGTGTGTTTCCTGCTGCAGGGATCTCAGGAACAGATCCTCAGAGCCCGCTGTGTCCTGGAGACTCTGGCCTCAGACTCTGAGCCACTCACAGAGATTCTGGAGGTTCCTCAGACCGCCTTCGGACGAATCATAGGTAGAAACAAACAGAACAATAGAGAGCTTTATTTATTTATTTATTTATCTCAAAATGTTGACTCAAAATGCTGCAGGTCGCGGTGGTGAAAGTCTCAAACTGATCACCAGAACTGCAGGAGCTAAAGTGGTTTGTTCCAAAGAAAGGTCAAATGACCCTGGAGCGAAGGGGAACATCACCGTCACAGGAACCAAACAGGAAGTCAAACTGGCCAAGGTTGGTTTCACCTGGACTAAAACTAAGCCTTGGTGGTCACATTGAGATCCTAACTGTCAGAACCATTGTTGTCCAGGAGATGATCCTGGAGAAGGTGGAGGAGGACATGATGGTGAGGGCCAGGATCTCGCAGTCTTCTGCTCTGAGGCAGAAACGTGGTCCTGGTGTAGAGAGTCAGAGGCCGAGCAGCACCGAGACCCAGACACCTGCAGGGTTCAACAACAACAACAGACCACCGCAGGCTGAAGAGAACGAACACATTCACAGAGCAGAAGCAGAGCTACAGAGGGAGGAGATAAAGGAGCTGAACATCAGCAGACTGGACCAAGACCTGGAAGAAGAGGAGAAAAGTCAGTCCAGCTCCTCACCTTCAGAAATCTCCAAGTTTGAAAGTGAGTTTTCGTTTCCTCTCCTGACATTCATTTGTCCTGGACGTCGTCATGACTCATGCTGACCATCTCTCTTCAAGTTCCAAGTCCAGACCTGAGCTTTCAGCCTGATGAACATCTGGAAGTGTACGTCTCAGCCTCGGAAAACCCAAACCACTTCTGGATCCAGATCCTGGGGGTCCGGTCCTTACAGCTGGACAAACTCAACCAGGAGATGAACCGATTCTACAGCAGCGGGAACCCGGAGGTCAGTTCCTTATGTTTCAAGCTTAGAGTCACACAGTACCAGTAACAGTACCAGTGGCAGGTCAAGGTACCATGGTACTGTTTCTACAACAGCAGTGCTCAGAGTGTCACAGTCTGTGGATTCTTCTTGTCCAGGATCAGCAAGTAGAGAGCATCGTGGTTGGAGACATCGTCGCTGCTCCGTACAGAGACCACGGAACCTGGAACAGAGCCAGGGTTCTGGGAGCTCTGGGTTCTGGACTGGTGGATCTGTACTATGTGGACTTTGGAGACAATGGTGAAGTTCCCAGAGCCTGTCTCCGCAGAATGAGGTGACATGTTTCTTGATTCATCTACACTGACCTTTGTACATGTTCTGCTGCCGTAACTTTTGTCCTGACCCTGGATGATTTCTGAGTCCACTCCAAAACTACATGCTAGTTCTCAGTACAAACATCCACACAGTTGAGACAAAAGTTCTACCAAGAACCAGGACTGCGCTCAGAGAATAACAGCTTCTCCTCCATCAACATTTCAGGAGTGATTTCCTCAGTTTACCGTTCCAGGCCATCGAGTGCAGCTTAGCAGGAGTCCAACCCAAAGGTGAGTATCGTTACACTGAGCTGAGCAGCCATTAACAGGTTTGATGATTTCCTGTCACTATTCACAGTGATATGGTCAGAAGTCATTTTCAATTGTAAATCACTGTGTACTGTAATTTAAAAGTGCTACTCCTGTATGTGAAAGACGTTTGTACAACAAAGAAGCTGCTCTGACATCAATACTTTACTTTTCAAAGTACTGTACTGTACTGTCCTGTACTGAACTATAAACTCACCTCTCAATAGAATCAGTTCAATGTTAGCAACAATGTTCATGTATTCCATTACATTGTATGTGTTGTATATTCACTGTCATACAGTTTTGTGATTGGTGTGTGTGTTCAGGTGATGTGTGGACGGAGGAAGCTCTGGATGACTTTGAGGAGTTGACCCACTGCGCCTCCTGGAGGCCACTGCAGGCCCGACTCTGCAGCTACTCTCACTCTGAAAGTTCGTCCTGGCCCAGTGTCAGACTGTTTGTCAGCAGTGAGGACAAGGTGAGGAGACTCTGGTCACATGGTTCTGCGTTAACCGCTGTGGGACATAACCGCTGTCTGTGTCCAGACTGTGGACGTGGGTGAGGAGATGATCAGACGAGGACACGCCCTCACTCACCAGGAGGTGGTGAAGGAGAAGATGGAGGTGGACCACGTGGGCTCCCTGCAGAGGATGTTGGTGAGTCAGAGGCTGGAGTCTCACCAGCGTCAGGTCCACTGGTACGGTCCACCTGGTATAGAGACAGCTCCACAGTAGTGACTGTGACACAATCTATACACAAATTTCAAAGTGACCCAAACATGTCTGACAATGATTTCCCACTATAGAGCGGGCAGAGGGGAGATTGATTGTTCGCAACACCACAGGTCCTGTCGCTTTAACCATGTGACCATGGGCTGCCCCCAAACCTGAAAAATTTAGGTTTCAGACAAAATAAAATAATAATTCTAAGTGTCTCTGCACAGCTGTTGTGATGCTGTGACCCTGAGGTGAAGCGTGAAGAACAGCCCATCATCAACCCCACAGACCAGGGTTTTACAGGGTTTAACCCCGATCTTTGTTGACTTGACAGGACGACGTGATCGGAGCTTCGTCAGAGCTGAGTCTGTCCTGCATCAGCCTGTCAGGTGAGTTCAGACCACAGACAGAACAGACAGACTTCACCTTTACCTTTTCCTTCACCTTCACCTCAGACAGAACAGACAGACTTCACCTTTAACTGTCTTGTCTCTCCTCACCCGCTGGAGCTCAGTGTCAGTGTTTCCTCTCTGTCTCTGTTTCAGATGTGGCCTCCATATCAGGAAGTGTGGATGACGTCATTGAAGACGAGCTGATCTGAGGAGACTTCACTGACCAGTTGAGGTCACATGTTTTTTTTTGGCACTGAATGAAAAAAACATTAACAATGACATTAATGTGGTTCTTTATTCTTCCAGAATCCATTCCTCAGCAGTCCTGAAGATGAATGATCTCCCTGCTGCTACTGCTGCCCCTCCTCATGCAGCCTTACCTCCATCGGTGTTCATTCATCGGTGCTTCATTACTTCTGCCTTGTTCCTCTTGTTGCACTTTTTTCACCTCTGCTTCGGGTTTCTCTGTGCGTGTTTTAGTTCAGATGAAGCAGAACCAAAGCAGAATAACTCAATCAGTGTTATCGGTTTGTGAAGAGTCACTGTGATGGACCAGTAGGAGGCAGCACTGAGGCATTTCGCTTTATTATTTAAACGGCAGTTTTCGTTCCAACAGTATTACTAAAGACTCACAGTTACTGATGTAAGTGAATAAGATGAAAATGAAAAAATATAAAAGATTTATTTTATGTGAAAAGCAATCGACTGTGTGTTTTTTTAGAAGTGTGTGACTGTCCCTCACCATTTTTAACAATCAAATACAATGATGCTCGCTCTAAAGAGAAACTAGAAATGTTAAGGGACAATCGCAAAGTTAAAGCATTAATGAAAAGTACCTACTGTCCTATATTTCTCAACGGTTCTGTTTTTATTCATTTGTGGCTTTATGTTTTTCAACTTATATTTCCTTCTCTTTCATCATGTCCATTTTTTCAGTTCCATCGTTTTATTAGTCTTAGGTTTTGATTTTCAGTTTTGATCAATCGTATTTGTTGTCAACAACAAGTTAACATGGACAATTACAGGAATAGTAATGTATGGTAACTGTAAAGTTACGTGTGTACAAGTTCTACAAAGAACAACATGCCAAAGTTAACATCAGAGACGCTGACAGAGAGGAGTCATTCATTCATTCCTTCCTTTACAGTGTGTGTATTTTTTGTTGTTGTTTCTGTGTCACTGACCTCCTTTTCCCTGCTCCACCAATCAGAGCGAATCAACTTTACGCTGCGCATGCGCAATGACTGTTTTCACGCATTAATGTGTTGTTTCTCTTTACCTTTTTTTCTCACCATTAGCTCAGATTCTTGTCTTTGTCCTATTAAAATTCCAGTAAGTGCACCTCTGTGAAAACGCAGCTTCTCTATATGAAGGGCTGATGGAAGACACACGGGACTTGGTAAAGACAATTTAGCCGATATTTTTTGTTTTTGGAGCCGTTAAAACCCCGTTTCCTGTGCTAATGCTAACCGAAGCTAACTGTAATCCTTTGTTTTTATCCTGAAGCGATGCTAAATTTGGTAGCACTTGGGAGTTTAACATGTAATTTGGAAATTTTAACAAGCCATTGTATGAATTATACACCCATAGAATTGTTGTTCGTATACAAAAACGTTGGGTTCATATCACTGTTGTTAATGGAAGTGAAACGTATTCGCTGTGAAAAGAAATTGGTAATATATTTCCGCTAGCCTGCAGTGCTAACACTGCTAGCCACTTTAAAGGCCGCTCCGAGGTTCATTTTCTGTCATTTTGACATTTATCTGCCGTGTGTGATGCTACAATCACATACATTGTTTAACCAGTCTTTTGGGTTTAATTTTATTTTATTGTCACTATTCTTCTCGCACTTCAAGTTGAATATTAGCGCAGTTAGCTGTGTAGCTAAGAGGAGGAAGTAAACATAATGTGGGAGGAATTAAATATAAGTTTAAAAATATTTCGCAGACTTTTCTTATGTCTTTATAGAAACTCGTGCTCTCTTTATCGATGTAAATTAAATTTATATTTTTACAATCATTTATATGCAGGTCAATTGCTATTGGTATTTTTCATTTTAAATGTTTATTATTTATTGTGGTACATACGCGACTCTTCATTTTAAATTGCGAATACATTTGTTGTCATTTTAAGGGTGTTACTAATATAAATAAAAAAATAATAATTTACCAACAAAAATAATTTTATACAAAATATAAGGAAATCTTGCATTCTAACGTTGAGAAATATCTTTCCAAAAACAGCGAAATAATGACGCGTTGTTTTATCTGCTCTGTCGTCATCACTGTGGCAAAATGTCTGCTGTTTATTACGTGTTTGTTTCACCGGTTAAAATTTTGTTAAAGTGTGGTACTATTACAAAATGGTTATTAATAATCAATTGTATCAAGTGTAGAAGCGGCTCCCAGCGCTGGGGGGTAGTGGTGTGTGAAACCACTAGAATACTCAGAAACTGAACGTCACACATTAACTCATGGATTTCCTTCTCACCAAGGCTGAACGAACTCCACGTTCAGAACGAAAGCGGCGTGACTCATTCGGGATGTTTGATGGCTACGACAGCTGCAGTGAAGAGTCCACCAGCAGCTCCAGCTCTGAAGACAGTGAGGACGAGGTGGTTCCGTCCATCCCTGTCAGCCTGCCTATCATTAAGAACAATGGACAGGTCTACACCTACCCCGACGGCAAGGCCGGCATGGGTCAGTCTTTAAAAAAGAACACTACACACTGGGATACGGAGTTCATTTCTAAACTCTAACTCTTTTGAACTCTGACCTCTTCTCCACAGCCACCTGTGAGATGTGTGGAATGGTGGGAGTACGAGATGCCTTCTACTCCAAAACCAAACGCTTCTGCAGTGTGTCGTGTTCCAGGAGTTACTCCTCGAACTCCAAGAAAGCTAGCATCCTGGCGAGATTACAGGTGAGTCTTAGAGATACTTAGGGCAGAGAAGTCTGGATGTTGGTCTTCATTTTTGTTCTCTTGTTTTTTTTTTCCAAAGGGCAAACCTCCAACGAAAAAGGCAAAAGTCTTACAGAAACAGCCGCTCATGGCCAAACTGGCAGCTTACGCTCAGTACCAAGCCAGTCAGCAGAACCAGGCCAAGTCTAAAGCTGGTATGTTGTCTTATCTTCAATTTCAGTTTCTTTATTTTCTTCTGCTGCTGTGGTTGGATGTTGTTGGACTAAACCTGTTTCCTGTCTGTCAGTGGTTCCCATAGAAACATTTGACTGGGGCCAGTACATCTGTAGCAATAACACCGTCGGTGCTCCTGTCAGCTGTTTCAAACACGTAAGTCATCCACACCCAGGTAGAACTGTAGTAGCAGCAGGACTGGTACTTTCTATTCACTGATGCTTGTTGACTCCCAGGCACCGATGGGATTGTGCTGGGGGGACATAAAGGAAGGTGTCAGGATTGAGGTGCTGAACTCTGACACCAACCTCTCCACCAAGGTCTACTGGATCGCAGAAATCATTAAGCTAGCAGGTGAGACTGCTGCTGTGTGGACACATTTGGTTGTTTAGGTCTGAGTGGTGCATTCGGTTCAGTCATTGTTCTAACGCGCACCTCCCCCACTCCCCACAGGGTTCAAGGCTCTCCTGCGTTATGAGGGCTTTGACAACGACAACAGTAAAGACTTCTGGTGTAACCTCTGCATCCCGGAGGTTCACCCCGTCGGCTGGTGCGCTTCCAGTGGGAAACCTCTTGTACCTCCAAAAAGTGAGTCCCAATGTTTGGAATGTCTGATCCTGGAGGGTTTGGAGAAACTCTGGCTGATTTTTTTTTTGTGTGGCTCCCCCTACAGGTATACAGCATAAATACTCAAACTGGAAAGCTTTTCTCATAAAACGTCTCACTGGAGCTAAAACACTGCCATCTGACTTCAACACCAAGGTGAGAGCCGTGACCCCAGCTCTGGGAGTTGATGGTAGGAGAGGTATTCTTCTTCCTTTCACCCCAGCAACTACACCTGGTACTGTTTTACCTCAGGTACACGAGAACATGCAGTTCCCCTTTAAGAAGCTAATGCGGGTAGAGGTGGTGGACAAGAACTACCTGTGCCGGACACGGGTGGCGCTGGTGGAGCAGGTGATTGGTGGCCGCCTCAGGCTGGTCTACGAGGAGAGCCAGGATGGTTCTGATGACTTCTGGTGTCACATGTTCAGTCCGCTCATCCACAACATCGGCTGGTCACGAAGCATTGGCCACCGCTTCAAACGATCAGGTGAGAGTTCCCTTTATTTAAACAGTCTTAGTTTGTTCCTGGTTCTCCGGTAGAACTGTTTTTACTGTTTGGTACCAGTTCCTACTGTGTAGTCGGACATGTACCTGTGTTAGTTAGTGATAGTTCCTGCTGTGACAGATGTCCGTCAGTCCCTCTCACTGGTTACAGAGACACCTGTATGGCTTGTCGTCATGGTGACATGTTGCTATAAGTGACATCTCTGTTCTGTTGTTTCAGATGTCACCAAAAAAATTGAGGGTAAAACAGACGCTCCAGCTCAGTTTTTCCAAAAGGTAACGCTGGTGTTCCTGAAGCCTAAAGCTGAGATTGGTCTCTGAACCACTGACCACTACAGACATCTGACATCTGTGTGTTTCAGGTGAAGGAGGTGGACCAGAGCGGGGACTGGTTCAGAGATGGGATGAAGCTGGAAGCCATCGACCCCCTCAATCTCTCAGCTATATGTGTAGCCACTGTAAGAAAGGTCAGTGCATGTGTGTGTGTGTTTATGTGTGTTTACCTCAGATTTCTAAAATAAATTCTTTGAAGACCAACCTTCTGATGTTTCTTCTGGTCCAGGTTTTAGCAGACGGGTACCTCATGATTGGGATTGACGGATCAGAGGCTGTGGACGGATCAGACTGGTTCTGTTACCATGGCTCCTCACCCTCCATCTTTCCTGTCGGCTTCTGTGAAATCAACAGCATTGAACTCACGCCCCCTCGAGGTAACTGACAGGCACTACAGCCTCTGAGGTCCCTTCTTGTTTTCTTGAAAACATCTTGACTTTGGTCTCACCACTGACTGCGGTCTACAGGGTACACTAAACTACCATTTAAATGGTTCGACTACCTCAAAGAAACAGGATCAGTCGCTGCTCCTGTCAAGCTATTTAACAAGGTAGGTTTGATGTCAGTCCAGAACCACAGAGTTAAAACCAATGAAAATCCAAACCTCCACCTCCTTCGTTCTGTCTTCCAGGATGTACCCAATCATGGCTTCCGTCAGGGCATGAAGCTGGAGGCCGTGGACCTGATGGAGCCCAGGCTGGTGTGTGTCGCCACCGTGACCCGCATTGTGCACCGGCTACTGAGGATTCACTTTGATGGCTGGGAGGATGAGTATGACCAGTGGGTGGACTGTGAGTCGCCCGACCTCTACCCTGTGGGCTGGTGTCAGCTGACTGGCTATCAGCTCCAACCACCTGCTTCACAGAGTAAGGAGGTGCAGATGGACATATCTGGGCATCATGTTGATGTAGTACTTTATATACAGTATTTAGCATTTTTTATTTAAAAAAAATTACAATGTTTTCCTGCAGGGGGGGCTTTAAGCAAAGTAGTTGATTTAAGTCAGTTGAAGAAGGTGACTCAGTGATGTTTGTTTTTGGTTTTCAGGTAACAGAGAGCTGCCTCAGTCTGTGCCCAAACAGAAGAAGAAGGCTCAGCAGTACAAAGGCCAAAAGAAAAGTGAGTCACCTCCTCTGCTGTCACCCCTTCTGCTGTCACCCCCTCTGCTGTCACCCCCTCTGCTGTCACCCCCTCTGCTCTCTTGTCTTCCGTCCCTGGGGTCATTTGTCAGAGTTCCATTTTTGTCATTGTTGTTGTTGATGTTGTTGTGGGTCTTGTCATTGTTGTTGGTGGTGGTGGTCAGCTGATGTTGGTGATTGGTGAGCGCGCTCATCAGTCGCCTCCTGTCATTGGCTGACTGCTGGTCAGTGATAAGGTTCCAGACTCCTGGTCTTTTAGTTCAGAATGTTCTTGTCCATCTGTGGATGACCTCTGAACTCTGACCTGTAGAAGGCCTGGTGTCCCACTGACTCAGGAGCAGGTATAATGGAGGAGTAGACGTGGAGGTGCATGTGTGTGTGGTGTTCCATCAGGAGCCCAAAATCTTCCTTTCAAACATGTTTCCATGCTAACACAGGGTGTGTTGAATAGTCTGAGCAGGGCCACCTTCAGGCAGCTGTGGGTAAAACAGTTTCCGGCTTTAACTTTCTGAACCCTTTCATCTGGTGACATACACATACACACACAAACTGAATGGGGGTCCTGTCAACGTGAACACCTGTGTGAACCGAGCCCCCGTAGCTCACCTGAGTCTGACTTGGTGTTTAGAGAGGAAGATTCCTGTTGGTCGACGGCCCTTCAGTCAGTCAGGCACCAGGAGGAGCAGCTTCTCAGGGGATGAAGAGCAGAGTCCACCCCCCTCCCCTGCACAGGGGCCTGCTCGGCCCCGGCCCCGAACCCACCTCCACCAAACCCACAAATCAGGTAAAATGACACTAACAAATGAAACACAGTTTTCCAACAGGAGATGGATTCAGATACACAGTTCTACTGCATGTTCTACTGCAGTAGTGTCCAGACTGTGGTTAGAGTGGATCCAGATCCAGTAGGTCCTCCATTCTGAAGTCACCTCTAGGCGTTTTATGGTTAAGTGATTCTGAAGTCACCTCTAGGCGTTTTATAGACTGGCACCTGGAGGCCAGCACAACCAGACCTGTGACTGATGTTAGCCCAAAAGAAAGTTCAAATACTCTAGAACAGAGCTGGAACATACGTGGATCCACAAGGTTCCTCAACTACCTGGACATCCTGGTGGAGCAGCGTCCATGGTTCACAGACAACACTTCTGCAAGCTCCGCCCACATCCTCCCTCCTCTCCCTGAGTGAACTGAAAACTCTAAACAGGACTGTTTTGGACAATAAGTCAAGTACTTTCCAGTGATGGAATGTACTGTTGGTCCTGGTGTTGTGCTCTGTTCTTGGTACTAGGTCCTGTACTGGGCCTGGTTCCTGGCATTTTTTACTGTATATGAATAAACCACAGTAAAATCTTGACATAGTCCTCAGCTCCGGTGCTGTCCATGCTACTGGTTCACTAGTAGATATGTACTGTATACAGCTGCAGCCATGTCCTCCAGTGGTCATCAGTTTTTTTCTTCTCCAGGTCAAATAATTCACCTTCAGATTGTAAATAAAACGTTGTGTTTGTCATTTTCTGGTTGTTTGTGGCCTAACACTGTTGTCACATGACACGTCTGTTGGTCTGCTGATTGTTGACTGGGCATTGAACCTCAGAGCTGTTTTCTGTTTTCTGAAGCTGAAGATCACCATCACTGTGTCCCCTGTCTCCTCTCTGTCCTGTCTTTTCTGTAGAGTCTCTACTGAGAATGAAGGAGGACGCAGCAGAGGTGGACGAGTTCACTTTCTCACAGGGAACCTCAGACCAGGAGAGCAACGGCTCCGGCAGCTACTACATCAAACAGGAGCCTTGAAGGCTCCGTGGGTCGCAACCCAGGCGGGACACACTCCAAGACACTCCTCTGGACCAGGGATCAAGACTAATCACAAAAAGCCTCAAACTTCCAACATGTGGAGGTTTCCAGCTTCCAGAAAGATCACCAACCAGGAAGTTCCAGGACCTTCTCTTTCCTGGATCCCAGCCACTCCTGGGAATTTTCTGTTTGAGTCAAAGAATTGTTGAGTTGACATGTTTGGAGTCTGTCAATCAGATGAGAGGATTTTTCTCCTGGAACAGTCAACACGTCAGCGCCATGCAACATCTTTAGAGTTGGTTATCACCAGAGGATATGTTTGTGGATGCAGTCAGATCAACAACTCATGGAATTATGGGTAAAATTCTGAGTTTCTTTTTTTTCCTGTTTTTGAAAGTTTCTAACCAAATTTTTTTGGACCAAATTTTTCAACATCATCTTGTTTTGGTTGAATCTCAACGAGGTCTTGTTTTTCCAGGACGTTTTGTTTCCCGTTTTCTTTTGAAGGAATCATTGGATCAATGAACTTATAATTGGATCAGTTCACACAACAAACTCTTCTCTTTGAAGTCAATTGGCCAACATTCATACGATTAGAATCATCCAGTCATCCAGCCTGACAAAACCACACTAGACCACGGTTTACACTCACTTCCTGTTTCGTCCAGCGTCACATGGTGGAGTACGCCTGGAGCCCGTCCTGCCTTGACCACAATCTGGGCCACGCACAGAGACCTGTAGAAACTGTGAGAACTTCTGATGAGCCAGGTCTTTTTTTTTTCTTTCTTTTTTAAAAACAGCTTTTTGTATATAAACACACACACACGTGTAGAACAGCACATATATTTCAATATGAATATAAACATTGGTTTGGTGTTCATACAGTCGGTGAGCGCCACCCACTGAGCAGCCTGATAAGAGAAACGGGGCTGGAACAAATGTGTGTATATTTTTTTTCATGTTTTGCCAGGTGGACTATTTCCTTTGGTCAAAGTACTTGAAGTTTTCCTCTTTCTCTTTTGTAAAAAATTTTTTTAGACAGTGGTGGCGATAGGTGTCTTAATGTAGTTGGTGTTTATTTTTTCTGGTGCCTGTGTGGGGGAACGTATGTGTTGTTTTACACAGATGATATAAAATGGAGTACATATTTAAAGGACTCACAGCAGAAACACAGGGTTTAAATCCAAAAACTAATTGAAGAGGAAAAACATTTTTGCTCGTCTAACAGGTGTAACATTAACAGCAGAGGGCGCTGAAACCAACTGGTGTGATGAGGGTTAGTATCTTTGAAAAAGAACAAACAGCCGCCGCAGATCCATTTGTGTGAAATGTAAAATGTTGACCTGAGTGTGTATGGAGTCTGGCCCGTGTCACTGCATCATTACAGTAAAATACATGCATATAAATACACTTTACTAACATGTCAAATTCAAAGCTGATATTTTACAATGAATACCTTCACTTTATTCTAACTCTTTATTTTGAATAACTAATACATATAAGTAAACATAACAAAATAAACAATATCATTAACCAAAAAGACTGTGTTAGACTAAAATGTAAAATAGATGAAAAATATTTAAAAATAAAAATGACAACTGTTGTGATACATGAACTTGATGAAGATGATAGGTGGCACTCTCCAGACTCCACACTGCAGACGTTTATTTCTGTGGACAGAGACAGACAAAGAACTCATGTCATCAGTTCATCATTTCATCAGCTCATTATGCAAACATATTTCATATATTGTAAAGTTTTCTCCTCTCACAGTAGGGTGTATGCAGGTCAGTTATGAGTCACAGTTGATAGATGATTACAGTGATAGTACGCATTTTTAAGAGTGGTTGTATGAAATACTGAGGACTGTATGGACTTTGGTCTGAGCTAAAATCACTGATTTTCTCTATGGACTTTGGTCTGAACTAAAATCACTGATTTTCTCTGTGGACTTTGGTCTGAGCTAAAATCACTGATTTTCTCTATGGACTTTGGTCTGAACTAAAATCACTGATTTTCTCTATGGACTTTGGTCTGAGCTAAAATCACTGATTTTCTCTATGGACTTTGGGGTGTGTGAATAAGCCCCCCTCAGATAATGTAGAACTGTGAAGTCTTCAGTAGGTCGAACAGTCTCTCTTTGAAAAGATCTAAACTGTCCACTTGGGTAAGAAGTAAAGCTATATGATGATATATGAAAAAAGAAAAAAATATATATATGTATATTGTGAATGTCTATGATGTAAGAGAGTTCAGTCAGATTGGTCAGAAAATAACAAAACTCCTCATTCACTCTTTGTAGTTCAGACGTTTTGCAGCTGTTTTTTATCGACTACCTCCTGATGTCAGCCACGTGTAGAGACAGTGAGAGAAACTAATGGTGGCCGCGTGTTAGCATATGCAAATAGATCTTAGAATCTTAAATATGATCCTCCTGAAGACTAGACACCAAACAGTGAGAGAGAAGAGGTTTTTAACAGCACAGCTCAGTCTCCTGATTGGAGCCATATGCAGTAGAACCTGATGACAAATCACATTTTACTGTTATCACAACAACACCAGAGAGGAAGTTAACACAGATACATATGAAATCACTCTCTGTGATGTAAAACTAAATTCTCTATGTGGCCACAGGTGGTGCAGTGGATCAAGAGCAGATTTAAACTCTTCAAATATTTATCTGTAGTTTCTCCTTCTGCCATGAATCACTTTCTCAGGATTTTGATTATCTCTGTCTTGTCACAAATCCATTCAACTCTTCAAAAGCTTCTTAATGGTGTTCATCTAAATAAGCTCCACACTGACTGCAGTTTTTCACTTCTGACCTTTGGATTTTTTTTTCTGTCCACATTAAACTAACTACTGAGTTTCTGAACAATATATATTTATATTTTTGTTAAAAAAAAGGGGGATTTTGAAACGTGTTGAGTCAATGTTTTGATTTATATCACTAATCTCAAGAATCCACACGTTTTACCACTAAAGGTATAACCTCTGAAATCTGATCGAAGACTGTTTGTGTTGATGACCATTTTTGTACTGAGTGCAAATCCAAATGCAGAATCCTGGGTCAGTCCTGGGTCAGTCCTGAATAACTGCAGTTGGTTCTGGTTTGCTGCCCGGCTGCTGCTGTTTCATTGGTTGGTTTTTGGTTTTTAATCATCGTGACGTTGAAGACTACGTCTATTGTGAAACTTGTTACCACCGATGTTTGGACTACAGTTCGTTCTACTAAAAACACCAACTTTTTTTCCTCTTCTTCGAGGTAAAGTTTGAAAGTTTTGAGAAACTCTCCTGTCAGGCAGTTACTGCAGTACCGGCCTAGTACAACACACAAATCTAAAGGACTGCTTTAGGGACTAAAGACTGCTGCTACTACCCCCCTCCTCCCCCACATACACTCTCCTGAAAATAATCAAATGCACAATCAGTTGTTTTTGATTTTCTTTCTTCTCACGTTTCCTTGTAGAAAACTCTCCCTCAGCCTGTAACCATGACGACCGCGTGTGAAGAAATGTTTCTGTGTTTTTTCACGTCTTTGTTCATCGGCAGCTGGCGGTAGAAGCTAACGTTCTCCAATGTTGAGGCTAACGTTGTGGCGCTGGTCAGCTGAATGCATGTAGAACAGAACTTGTTTAACTGTTTCTGTGATTGATATTAGTTAAAGTTCCGTTTTCTCATGTTTTGTGTTTTACTTTTTTCACACTGTCAACAAGAAGTCTTGGGAGCTCCACACCACAGGGGGGCAGTAAATGTATTCATTTAATTCCATAATTTATTTAGTTAGTTTTCCTTTTTATGATCTAACCCTCAATTATTTATTTTTTCATGTGTAGCTATTTTCACATTTCTTGTTTTGAAAAATAAGTGCTTCGTATATAAATCTTTGTTACAAAAACCTCAAAAACAGATTTTAAAAATTAGCCTAACTTCTACAATCTCAAATTGTTATTATTAATCTTAACATACACCATTTAACAGACAATTTGAATAACTTTAGTTCAAGCTTTTACACCTTTATAACCAATGGTTTTACAACAGTTGTTTGACTTAAAGACTTAAAAATAAAGCGATTCTTTAATTGTTTTAATTGATCATTTTTATTCAACCCTGAAATATTGATTTTATTGTAAAACATTAGAAACCTTTGTTTTAATTGATCATTTTTATTCAACACTGAAATATTGATTTTCTTGTAAAACATAAAGCAAATGTTTTCTGCCCCCTAGTGGAGGAGAGCTTCCACGAACATGTTGACTGATGGAGAAACAGCCTGAAGTTGTATAATTATATTGTTTTGTTTTTGTTTTGTTTTTCTTGGATACTAACACGGGTCTTTTGTATGTGATGGTCCCCACAATTATATTAAACAATTATATCGTGGTGCTACATATGATGATATATATATATATACATAAACATATATATATTTGATAAAAACAACGTACTATGTATCTGGATTATTAATATTGTTATTATTGTCTGAAAATACTTGTGCATTGAGAGGGTAATGGTGCAAAATTTATTTTGGATACAAATGAAAAGATCTATGTGAATAGTAATAAATTTATTGATCTGAACACTGACCCTCGAGGTACATTAGCAGTTTGAGGTTTGTACGTAGAACCTTTTTGATAGCGTCTCCTTTCCTTTCTTATGGTCTGACTTTGTGCTGTGATGGAGCTTTGATAGACTTTGTACATAAAAGCCAAAATGTTTGAATCTTAACGTTGGTTGTGATGGACGGCTTCTTGGTTTACAAGCGTTGCAAACAGTTTTTCCGCATGGCTGTGAAAGTTTATCCAGTGATTTTTTTTTTTTAATTTTTAAGATCTGACTTTTACACTGAATAAAAACAGAATTGAATCGGTGCAGAGTCTGAGTCTGTGTGTGAATTTAGATCAGGACTTCACCATCCAGAGACCAGAAGTCTCCTGCTCGTGGGTTGGCTGGTACTGACAGCCCAAGAAGATCTGTACAAACCAGTTTGTACTGTTCTTGGTATAGATTCTGGGCCTTATGAATTAAGGTGTCAATCAAACTGTTCACATTAATCTGGCAACCAAAAAATATTTCTTTTTGTCTTTTTATAAACCGGATGTGCACGTCATATTCTCCGTCAGAAGACCAAACTTTTTTTAAGTTTAAAAGGAGGATAAATTAGCATATTTGGAGGTCAAACAGGCTAACCACTCTCGACTGGTATTATATTGTTTTTATCCTTTTTTTATTCTTTCATACTTTTTTAAATTTCATCTTTAATATTCTACGTTTGTTAGAATTAGATGAATAAATGTTGTACCTTTACGCTACGTTTCGCAATGACGCCTTCAGTCCGCTTCCGTAGTCTCTTATTTCAAAACAAATCCGCCGCCGCACAGCGCCTCACCAGTTCCGCCCACTTCTTCCTCCTCGACCAATCGGAGGGCAGAAGTCTCAGTCGTCTAATCACACGTGAGTGTCCCTCCTCCCAGTTAGAATACTTCAACATGGCCGCCGTTGCTCACTAAACCCTCGGAAGTGCAGGGGTTGTGTTCCTCTTCTGGGCAGGAAAACTGCATTTTGAAGAACAATCTTTGAAAAAGAAGGATTTAGAGAAGAGGAAAGAAGAGAGCAGACGGTGAGTGAGTTTGTTTCCCTCTGCGTGGACCGAGGTGACGGTGTCGTCGTGTTTGCTGTGAGCATCTGTCTTTGACATGAAGGACAGGAGCAGCTCAGAGCAGAGGAGAAGCAGCGGCGAAGATTCTCCGCTCATTTATGATTCGTAAATTCGTGTAAAGTCCTCATTCTGAGGGTCTCACTGAGAGGTCATGGAAGTTGAACCTCCGTCTGGTACAGACGTTAACACTGAATGTCCTCGTTTTCAGTAGCATTAGCGAGCTTATAATAATAATAATAATAATAATAATGATAATGATAATGATAACAACAACGTGTCCAGACGAAGAACATGGTATTTTAATGGTGCAGAAGGAACATATTACCGAACATTTTTAAATTATTATTTTTTATTTGTTTGTTTGATCATCATCTTAGTATTTTTTACATTTTGAAATATATTTTATGGTCATAAAATATATTTACATATAACATATACAAAATCATGTAAAATAATATTTAATGATGATAATATACATATATAAATGGATACGCATATGTATGGTATGGTCCTTACAGGTGTGGTACTGTTGAAAGTGACTATTACTGTAAATGTCACAGGGTCAGGGTTAGGTGTGAGGTTGACCATGACAGTGACTAGTAGCAGGATGTTGTTGTCTGTGTAGATAAATAGTTCCAGTCGGTTCCAGTGGATTATTATTGGAGAGTAAGAGTTTTGGCTCCATTTATGGACGAGTCTGTGAAACCTGATCCACTTGGTTCTTGGATCGATCCGTTGTCTGTGGCCCGCCCTTGTCGCACCCTTCACTCTGGCTCTTGTTCGCTCTGATTGGTTGATGGTTCTGGAGTCTGTGCAGGTCCAAACTGCTGACTGTAGAGTTCAGCGGAGTTCTTTGTGCCACAGGAACCTGCTTATGTGGTCAGTCAGAGCCAAAGTCCAGTGTCAGGAGATTCAGGCTTTTCTTTTTACAACATCACTGCTGACCAGCCTGACCCCCACAACCGTCACGCCCCACACACAGACCCTCACTTTGAATAACTTTAGTGGCAGATGGAAAACATTTCATTTCATTTTCAGTTTTGTTTTTAACACCTCTGTTATCTGTTCACAGACGACCACACACTGCTGCTGCTGCTCCTGCTGCTGCTGCACCAAAGCAACCTCTGACTGTTCCTCAGGGAGGAGGTGAGGTCGATCAGAGGTTCTGGATGGTTCACAGTCTGTAAACCATTGTTCTTCAGCACCTTCGCCGACAGCAGCAGTGGGCGGAGTTTGACTGTTACAGCATCAGTAGGTGGCGTTGGCGTTGCAGGGGGCGGAGCATGTGGAGAGGTTGTTGTGGTTGTCATGGAGCCGCAGGATAAGAAGCAGGTGAGTTTATAGAAGCAGTCTCTGAGGGGCTGGGGGGAGGGAGGAGGGAGGAGACGACAGAGGTCACAACTGAACACGAAGAAAACTGTCCAATTAAGAAGGTTTCATTAATGAATATTTCCTCCACACCTTGAACCTAATGCCAAGAAAACCATGTTGATTTGAAGAAACGTTTGTCCCAGTGAGGACAAACCAGGTGGAACCAGGTGACCTGCTCCTTGGTTTCTCTGGTGTTTGTTCATCTGAGACTTAAGTTCCCAATCAGAACCAGGAGCAGCTGCACACTTCCAGGTTCTCTGTGTTCCCTGCTCTGATTGTTTGTCTGGTTACATGCACGCTCAGTAGAGGTCAAAGGTCAAACCTCTTGAGTTAAACACAGACGACTGACGGAGTCTTGAGTTTTTCTTTAACCCTGGGTCTAACCCTTATCTAACCACCTGAAGGAAGCCACGCCCAAATGTGGGCACGGCGCTCTGGTGCTGACAGAACCTTAGACTTTCTTCTAGAAACTCTTTTTCCTCATAGTGAGTTCAAAGGCTTCACTGTGTTCTGTCTTCAGGCTGATCTCAGACCAGAATCTGAGCTGAGCCTGGCTCCAGTACTCAGTCAGGACAGCAGTACAACAGTAATACTGGGTTTACAGAAGTACTAACAACAGTACCTACAGATGGCAGAATACACACAGTTCAACACCATTACTGGATATTACAACTAACTGTGGTATTAAACGCTACGGTTAACTTATCGTAACGTTCCTTCAAACCGTCAGAAAATAATATGCTGGAACTACAGTTATGCGCAACTTAAACGGAACGAAAACAAAGTTACTCTACAGCTGTGTGTTGCATTTTTTTTCCCCTGGGGGACACCCCCCCGCCATTGTTAGCCACAGTGAAGGTAAATACACAGTAACTGGATTAATGGTTTACGTGTTCGTCTTTCAGTGCAACGTGACAGGTTACTCCACCTAACGTTAACATCATACTGTTCGTATGTAAACATGGCGTCAGGTCGGTCGCCTTTTTGAATTTCATTTTCTTTTATCTTTTTCGTTGGACAGCTTCAGTGTCCGTGAGGAGTGAGTTGTAGAAGAAAACTCCGTGTAGTCTGTTCTCAAAGTCCCCCTCCTCACCCCTCCTCCTCCCTCTGACCTCACCCCTCCTCCTCCCTCTGACCTCACCCCTCCTCCTCCCTCTGACCTCACCCCTCCTCCTCCCTCTGACCTCACCCCTCCTCCTCCCTCTGACCTCACCCCTCCTCCTCCCTCTGACCTCACCCCTCCTCCTCCCTCTGACCTCACCCCTCCTCCTCCCTCTGACCTCACCCCTCTGTGTTTTTTTTATGATTGTCTGGAGGATTTTTCTCTCAGACTTTGTTAGTGGAGGAAATGGAGTATATTTTTAGCTTGGCTGTGTGGGACTGATGATGATGATGATGATGATGATGACGATGACGAAGACCACGTGGGAACACGTTCTTTTCCTATTCATTGGACTCTACTGTGCCCCTCCTTTCCTCTCTATCTCACACACTGAGTCTCTGCTCTCCCCTTCCCCTCTCCTCTGTCCTCTACATACGTTAACTCTGCTCTACCCCCTCTTCTCACTGCACTGTTATGGACAAAAAATCTCAGTGGGTCAGAGTGACCTTTGGGAGGATTCCCATCTGTCGTGACAAATGTACTTCCTAGTGCCCATGTCCAAGATAGGGTGGACTCAGGACCGCTGGTCAACAAGTCCAAGGTTATTCTTCTTCTTCAGTCTCTAGTCGAACCAAGCTGAGGTCTGACCGCCGTATCCTCTCTGTTGGACAGGGGGACAGTGCTGTGACTCTGGGTCTGACCACTGGTCAGGCTCTGGTCAAACTGCGGGACCAGCTGAGCAATCTGCTGGAGGAACACCAGAGGGCAGCACACAGAAACTTGTCTGTCCAGGTAAGTGTCCAGAGACTGTGGGAGACACGAAGACAGACACATGACTTCTCATGTCTCATGTCCAGTAGCTGTGAGTGAAGTCTGCTGCTGCATCTGTCCTTCTGTGTCCCCTCACATCTGTCCAGGACCAGTGGCTGAACAGCTTCCTCTACCATGGCAACCGTCACTCCTGTTTCCACTGGCCTGGAGCCGCCCTCACCCTCCTGGTGTCCCTGGGGTTCCTGTGCTGTCACGGCAGTCAGCCCCTGGGCAGGTAGGCTGCTCATTGTCCTCAGTCAGACTTTTTAAGGGACCGTTTGTGTCTCGAGTGTAATCTTTCCTGGTCCACAGTTCAGGTATCGAGCTGGTGAACGCCGCCGCCCTGCTGCTGCTCTTTGTCCTCAACCTGCTGCTGGGGGGACGTCAGGAGAGGCTGAAGAGGAGTGAGATGGTGCGACGCCTGAGGAGCATCATCACCCAGCTGAGCCGTGAGTCCAGAGCGTCCCCCTACAGTCCTCACTGTGTCTCTGTCAGTGGGCTGGACCAGTGTCAGTAGTTTCAACATGTCCAGTCAACTCAGCTGTCCATTGAGGCCCTGTTCAGACAACATGTCCTCATGTGAGACATGTTGTCTTCAGGGTGTTACAGCTCAGATGGACCAAAGTCCTGCAGATTACCAGATGTGACACCAGTGAGATGTAACTGGACCTAAAAAACCCTGATCAGATTTTAGGTTCAATTTAGCCCAAAGTTAACTCCATGGTTCATTTGAACTAGTACGTACCAGTTATCACTGGTATCATGGTCACACCTGTGACCGTGTGTCTCTGATGGTACTTGTTGGTGCTTTTTAACCTTGGTGTCCCTCTAACCCAGATTATGTGTCTGGGGGTGTGGGTGACGTCCGCTGGTCTCAGTGTCTCTACCCTGACCTTCACACTCCCACGTCTCCGTCCTGGTCTCTGCACTGGACGTACAGAGACTCTCAGCTGGTCAACCTTCCCATCAGTCTCCTGGTGGAGGGGGACGTCATCGCTCTGAGGCCTGGGCAGGAAGCCTTCGCCTCCCTCAGAGGGATTAAGGTCAGTGACAGGTCACAGTGTGACCCCCCCCCCCCAAAGTAACTCTGTGACGTGGTCAACATTTTTTGTCCTTCTTCAGGACGATGAGCACATCGTACTGGAACCTGGAGATTTATTCCCGCCCTTTTCCCCGCCTCCTTCACCACGATCCAATGAGAAGAGAGGACCCCAGAACCCCCAGCAGCATCGGCTCTTCAGGGTGGTCCGGACTCCAGTCCTGGACCCAGTCAGGTGAGAACCCTGATCCTGAAGTATTACTGCAGTACTCGTCTTTATCCGAGTTCCTGTTTGTACTTATGAAAGAACCTGGGAATGAAAGTACTTATTGTTATGAAATGAAACAAAAAAACAACAGCTAACAGCTAAGATTCAGCCAAACAAAATTATTTTAAAAGATCTTCAAAAGAATTTATAGGTTAATAATTAAAGTTTGCTAGTAGTCGTTAACAGTAAAAGAAAAAAAGTCAAGATGATGAAACAGAAAGATTTACTGAAGTGGACGTAAAGACAAAACGTCCTCATCTGTTTCACCAGGAACAGCCTGGAGGCGGCTCTGTCACGGCCAATCACAGTTCTTGACAACGAGCGGGTCACGGGCCCGTCGGTGATCACCAAGATCGTCTGTCCTGTGGTTCTGGTCAGCAGAACACTCTGTCAGCATCACAAGAACTAAGTCTTCTATTCCACGCTGCCTCACTGCCAGCTTTACATTTTATCTCCTGTAGGTGGCGTTCCTGCTGGTGAACACCATTCGCTATTTCTGCAACACACCCAGTCTCACCCCACCCTGCTACAACTTCTTTCAACTACAGGTGGGAGGTGTTAAAAATGACTTATAGAACGATGGTGATGATGATGGTGGTGATGATGATGATGGAGATGGTGATGAAGATGGAGATGATGATGGTGATGATGATGATGATAATCATAATGATGATGAAGATGGTGGTGATGATGATGATGATGATAATGACGACGATGGTGGTGGTGATGATGAAGACGGTGGTGGTGGTGATGATGATGATGATGATAGTGGTGATGATGATGATCATAATGATGATGAAGATGATGATGATGATGATGATGATGACGACGATGGTGGTGGTGATGATGAAGATGACGGTGGTGGTGATGATGATGATGATGATAGGGGTGATGATGATGATCATAATGATGATGAAGATGATGATGATGATCATCATAATGATGATGAAGATGGTGGTGATGATGATGATGATGGAGATGGTGATGAAGATGGAGATGATGATGATGGTGATGATGATGATGGAGATGATGATGATGATGATGATGATGACGACGATGGTGGTGGTGATGATGAAGATGACGGTGGTGGTGATGATGATGATGATGGTGGTGAAGATGGTGATGATGGAGATGATGATGATGATGGAGATGGTGATGATGATGGTGATGATGATGGAGATGGTGATGATGGTGGTGATGATGAAGATGATGATGGTGGTGATGATGATGGTGATGATGGTGGTGATGATGAAGATGATGATGGTGGTGATGATGATGATGGAGATGGAGATGGTGATGATGATGGTGATGATGATGATGATGATCATCATAATGATGATGAAGATGGTGGTGATGATGATGATGATGGAGATGGTGATGATGGTGGTGATGATGAAGATGATGATGGTGGTGATGATGATGATGGAGATGGAGATGGTGATGATGATGGTGATGATGATGGAGATGATGATGATGATGATGATGATGGTGGTGATGATGGTGATGATGATGATGATGATGATGGAGGTGGTGATGATGATGATGAAGATGACTGATTCCTAATCATGACCTTGTGTTTTCAGTTGATGGGTGTTCTGCCCATCCTGCCCCTGCTTTTTCCCGTCATGTGGGTTTTGGTGAACGCCTTTGGAGAAGCCCGGGTCTTGGCAGAGTTCAGCCGAGTCACTCCAGTTGGTCTGGTGAGTGACACGCACACACACACACACACACACACACACACACACACACACACAGTCTCACGCACACACACAGAGGCCCCTCCCTCTGTGTTTTAACGGCCTCTTCTCTCCTCCAGCTGGCTAAGTTCTCTGAGGACACTCTCAGCAGTTACACGGAAGTGGTTTCCTCCAAGGTATAACCTCTCGCTGTGCCCTTCCCCTCCTCCCCCCTTCTCCACCTTCACCCGCCTGGCACCCTGCTCCACCTGACCTCAGCCTTGCCTTCATTCACTCCGTGTTCTTGTACTATAGCAGCTCCAACCACACCCCGCCCCCTCCCTCCCAAACTCCTCTCACCTCCTGGACGTCATCACATCTCTGGATCAGATCACCTGCTGTTGTGTCTGTGATTGAATCTCTCTGCTTTGGCCCTGTTTGTTTCCCACACCAATGAAATTCATTGACTTTTGATTTGGTTTTCAACATGTGGCTCCTGTGTGTTTTGTCTCCTGTGTGTCCAACATCCGTCACTTTCTCTGTCTCTGGGAAACAAACTCGTCAGATTGTCTCTGCCTGTGCCTTTTGATGGTGGTACTGTTTTTGGCTCAGACAACAGTACTGTTGTGAGAACCATGGACAGGGAGGGAAAATAGTTAGAATCTCACAGTTGAAGTCAGAGAAAGTTGGTTTAATGATGACAGTACCACTACTGACCAGCAGGAAAAAACCTCAGCCTTTGTGAGTCCAACCAACTTTATCTCTGAGGACAGTGATTAATGATCAATCATTATGAAAGATGGATTCCTGGACTAGGACCTGCCTGATAGCTTGGGTTCAGTTCTAGTCATTCTTCAGCCCCAGACCAACGTCCACAGCCTCCATACACCTCTGACTGAGTCATCTACAGCGGTCAACTGTGACCAGCGGTCAACTGTGACGTCAACTGTGACCAACTGTGACCAGCGGTCAACTGTGACCAGCGGTCAACTGTGACCAGCGGTCAACTGTGCTCTTGACTAATTTTTCACGTTGACGTTCTGACAGGAGATGCTGCGCTATGTGTGGAGACACTTTGTGGGGGTGTTGAAGGGAGAATCCCAGACGCTGTGCTACACCTCCAGTCTGTTACACACTCTGGGATCTGTCACTGTGAGTTCACTCGCTGCACGACTGGAACGTTACTGTGTTCAGTTCAAAGATTTTTTTTGGACAGAAATTAACTGTTAGAAAACACAGCTGATATCACCAGTAACACTCTCCATCCTGTAGGTGGCAGTGTTGCACTTACAGTTTAGTTGTCAGGCACAAGAAGATGAACAGAACACTAAGTTCTGGGCTATATTAATGTGTGTGTTGTGTCTGTGTGTGTGTGTGTGTGTAGGTTCTGTGTTGTGTGGACAAACAGGGAATCCTGTCCTGGCCTAATCCCAGTCCAGAGACTGTGCTGTTCTTCAGTGGACGAGTGGAACCACCTCACAGCAGCCAGGACGACCTCAGAGACGACCTGTCCGTCAACTCCTACTGTCGGGTGGAGATGGACGAGGACAGGGAAGAGGTGAGTGCTGTCTCCTCGTGTCCCTGTGTCTCTGACTCTGTGGTGGTTTCATTTGTTCTTTTCACTGTGCTGCAGGTCGGGGAGGTCCAGGCTCTTCTGTGTCCACCACCAGAGATGTCTTCTCAGCAGGGGGAGGGGCCTGAGCTTAGCGAGACCTCCCATGATAATGTGTGCTCCTCTGACACGGTCCGACGTCGACGTCCCTGCCAGCCCGCGACCACTAGGACAAAACACCACTCTGGTTCCAACGTTAGCTTCAGCCGTGACACAGAGGGAGGGGAGGACGACCAGGTCTCAGTCTAAGACCTCTGTGTCTCTTGATCTGACCTCCAGTCCAGTTTGTTCTAACTTCCTTCTCTGGTTTTGCGTGTCTCCAGGACTTTGCTGTGGGCTGTCCAGATGCTGAGGCCGAAGACTTCGTCTGCGACTACCACCTGGAGATGCTAAGTCTGTCTCAGGACCAGCAGAACCCGGCCAGTATCCAGTTCGATGACCTCTCCTGGCAGTGTCACCTGCCCTCCCTCAAACCTCTGGGTCTCAACATCATGTTGAACCTGTGTAACGTAGGAGTGACGCAGCAGCTGTGTCGTTTTGCGGACCACCTGTCCAACATGGCCCTGCAGGAGAGCCACGGCTCCGTCACGCCCATCTACGTCCCCTGGGGGCTCTGTGAACTCTCCAGACTCATCGGTGACAAATTCACTTCCTGTCCTTCAACCATGGTGTCTGTCTGTCTGTGACCAGGGTTCAGACTAACCAGGGTCACCCAATCACTGGCTCCTGGGCCAGTCCCTGGTCTTCAGATTCTCTGTGTTTAAAAATAATGACCAGAATCTTCCCCAGTTCCAAACGACTGCAAAAAGCAAAGAGCTAATAGTTAGCCTGAACCCGTTAAAATAACAGGAACAAGGAAAACAAACTGAACCAAAGAGCTAAAAGACAGACAGACTAACTGTGTTGGTTGGTTCTCCTGTCCTCAGGCTTCACTCCTGGAGCTCGTGAGCTCTTCAAACAGGAGAACCATCTGGCTCTGTACCAGCTGCCGTCAGGAGAGAAGACCAAGGAGTTCACCTCCAGACACCTGCACTACTTCACCAAACGTCAGCCGCCAATGTCCCACCTCATCTCCCTGTTTGTACAAGACTCCTCCTCTAGTGAGTTCAGCCACACACACACACACACACACACACACACACACACACACACACACAATAATCCTAACTCTAAATCTTCTACCTTTAATAATGTCCTCACAAGTACAGCGGTACCAGTACGTCCCGTGTGCTGACCTCTGACCTTTGTGCTGCAGACAACATCCAGATGCTGTCACATGGATCAGCTGACCTGATCCTGGAGGCCTGCACTGACTTCTGGGACGGAACTGACATCTATCCTCTGTCAGGTTCAGACAGGTGCAGTACCAGACCCAGCCTGAAGGCCTGAGTCTGTGGACACATGAAGACACAGTATTCACTCCCCTCTGTCCTCCTCTGTGTTGCAGGAAGAAGGTTCTGGACTTCTACCAGCGGGCCTGTCTCTCAGGGTACTGCTCAGCCTTCGCCTACAAACCCATGCAGGTTTCTCTGTCGGCCCAGCTGAATGGGAAGTGTGTGGAACTGACCCCGGGCCCCTGTCTCTTCTCAGGGGTGGAACTTCCCTCCACCACGCCCATCAAACATGGTTCCTACAGGAACAGCTGGAGCTCTGATGGTAGGAGAAGGGAAGAACCTGACCAGAACACAGATGTTGGAGACGGTGTGGACTCAACCTCGTCTCTGTCTCACCTTTTCTGTCTTCCAGAGGGCATAGGTGAAGGGGTGGAGCGTGAGGACTGTGTCCAGGCCCTGAGTGGACAGATCTTCATGGGCATGGTCTCCTCTCAGTTCCAGGCCAGACTGGACACGGTCCGACTCATCGATTCTCTGGTCACTGCCTGCATTCGCTTTGTTTACTTTTCCATGGAAGACGAGCTCCGCAGTAAGGTGAAAACACACACACACACACACACACACACACACACACAGCGTGAGGTCTATAAAACTAACCCTGTCAGATTTGTTTGTCCTGCAGGTCTTTGCAGAGAAGATGGGATTAGAGACGGGCTGGAACTGTCACATCTCTCTGACACCGAACGGTGACAGTCCCTGTGATGGAGCGCCATCTAGTCCTAGTCATGGTTCCCTGCACGAAGACCTGAACCAAGGTTACAAACCTGTTTGTCTCAGACTGATGTAAAAAAAAATTAGTTTGATGAAATGTCTCACTCCTTGACCTCTTCACCTTTGACCCAGAGTCTCGTGATGAAGCTGAAGGTCCGCTGCTGCCTGAGGAAGAGGCCCGCTCTGACATGGTCAGCTTCCAGCCCACAGACAGTGACGTGCCCAGCTTCTTGGAGGACTGTAACAGGGTAAATACACATGTTCTAAATGTGTTTGTTACAACACTAGCGCGTTAGCTTAGCCTGCTGAGAAGAGATCTGAGGCTAAAGTCCAGTTTGTTCTCAGCTCTGCTCCTGCACAACCTTTTGTCTGTCCTTTGTCTGTAGCAGAATTACTTCAGAGAGTGGAAGCAGTTATTCACAGTGAAGGGGCTGGGGTAGTGCAGTATATCTGGAAGGTTCCATTCCAGAGTCAGTGGGTTTATGTGAGAACAGCAAGAAGGCAACAACAACAGAAATGGTGGAACCAAGGAGAATTCTCTGTCCACAGGTTCCTCTGTTTGTTATTGACTAACTGGTTGCCGCCCATTAACTCAGCACTAGTAGATGCATTCGTAGATGCTCAACAGCAATGACAAACTTAAGCGTTCAACTCTTCACCTGTTTGTGTCTTACCCTCCTTCAGGCCAAACTTCCTCGTGGTATCCACCAGGTCCGTCCTCATCTGAAGAACATTGACAACGTTCCTCTTCTGGTGCCGCTCTTCACTGACTGCACTCCCGACAGTTAGAACACACTCACTCATCCTGATCATCATCCTGAAGAACTCAGTCCAGAACTGTAGAACCCAATGATGGTGACTCTGTGTTCTCTTCACAGCCATGGGTGAGATGATGAAGATCATGCAGGAGAACAGGGAGGTCACATGTTGTTTGGGAAGTGCTGCGAATTTCCGCAACAGCTGCCTGTTTCTTCAGAGTGACATTGGGTAAAAACCACAACAACAACCATCATCTTCATCATCATCATCATCATCTCACCAACCAGTGTTTTGTCTCCTCTCCACAGCATCGCTCTGGACCCTCTGTATCCATCTCAGTGTTCGTGGGAAACCTTCGGTTACGCCACCGGAGGAGGTTTCACTGGTGACAGTGAAGCTCTGACTCCTCTGCGTCTGTCTGGACAACTCAACAGTCTGGGCTGTTCTGTCACTTTTCACCAGGGGGAGAGCGTGAGCATCATAAAACTCATTGAACAGGTGAGTATGTGCTTAGCACCGCCCTCCGCCCTGTGGACGAAAAGATGAAGCAGCCTTTGGTCTGATGTCATAGCCAGGTCGTATATAAATATTCATTTATTTTATTTGTCTGTTTCAGGCTCGACACACGACCTACGGCATCAGGAAATGTTTCCTGTTCCTGCTGCAGTGTCAGCTCTGTCTGGTCATCATCCAGGTAAGTTTACCGGTTGAACAAAGTCAAAATGTCTGCACCGCTGCAAGTCAGACAGTTGAACGCTGATCCTGTACCTGCTGCAGATGTCGTCTGTCAAAGGAAGTTTGCTCTGTGATTTAATTTGGTTTTCAATAATAGTTGTGAAACATTCTGCTTTGCTTTGTATTGCTGATATTGATGTGATTTGTGATTTGGGCTCAACAAACTTCCCAACTTCAGTCCCTACATCTGAAGAGTCTAAATGGTGCTCCAAACCAAATTAATTGTTAAAATCTCTATGGACTTTGGTCTGAACTAAAATCACTGATTTTCTCTGTGGACTTTGGTCTGAACTAAAATCACTGATTTTCTCTGTGGACTTTGGTCTGAACTAAAATCACTGATTTTCTCTGTGGACTTTGGTCTGAACTAAAATCACTGGTCTTAGATTCTGTTTAATAGAATGTGTTTGTCTGTAGTTTTTAGCTTGTTTGGCTCAACTTCCTCCACCGATGAACACTACTGACATCTTGTGGTTGTCCTGCTTCAGCTGCCCTCTTCTAAGGTATAAATAAGACAAATAAGAGAGTGGAGCAGTTCCAGTAGACTGTGGTCACTGATGACTTTTGTCTGTTGTGAAAAGTGTGTCTCTTTTGGGGAAACCCCCGGATTGTTCCGTCATGGGTGTTGCCACTGGGAAAAACTTGGATGCCATTCCAAGGAAGGTGAGGTGTGAGGTTTTTAACGTCCTGAAATGTTTTTAATGGGTTTTCTTTGCCCCTGAACTTGATGTCAACTTCCTGTTTCAGAC